GGCCGTGAGTGAGGCTCGACCTCGCCGTCGCTAGCGAGGCTTGGCTCCACCGGCAACTGGCAAGGTCAGCCGAGGCTCGACCTCGCCGTTGCTAGGCGAGACCGACCTTGCTAGTTGACGGCGAGTTCAAGCCTCGCATCTAGCGAGGGGTCGTCCTTGCCGTCACTTTGGTGAGGGCTCGAACTCGCCGGCGCTAGCGAGGTCGAGCCTTGCCTGACGGCGAGGATAACCTCCCACCAAATTTCACGAGGCTTGAACTCGCCGGCAACTGGCAAGGTCGGCCTCACCCAACAACGGCGAGGTCGAACCTTGCCAGGGGTGGGCGGGTCGACCTCGACAGTTGCCGGCGGGGCCGAGCCCTCGCTCGCGGCCGGCGAGGCCGACCTCGCCAGTTGCAGGCGAGGCAGAGCCCTCGCCAGCGGCCGGCAGGGCCGACCTCGCTGGCCCCCGCCTCTGGCCAGTTGCCGGACTGGTGACTGGCCAGAGGTTGAAGATGAAGACGAAGGAAAAAAAAAAGGAAAGGAAAAAGAAAAGAAAAGAAAAAAAATTCAAAAAAAAATTCAAAAAAATAAAAATAATAAAGTTTAAAAATTGCCACGTCAGCGTCGGCCAACCGGCCGGCATCCACGTCAGCGCCAGCCGGCCAAAATTGACCGGATGGACTGAATTGGCACAAATTCAAAAGGTTTAGGACTGAATTGACATAATTGCAATAGATTTAGGACTGTTTTGGTAATTTTCCCGCAAAAGTGCAAAATGTTATGAAGTTTTTTTGATAATTTTCTTGACAAACAATCGCAAGAGAAGAAACCAGACAAGAAGAGTGCTTGTATGTTTTGTGAGAAAATGGCCAAAGTGAAGCACGTACATTCTACAAGCGAATTGTGAGAACAAGGGACTGTTTACACCAAAAAATGGCCAACTTGTCAACATGGTTCAGTTATGATCGACAAATGTTTATACCAAAAATTATCAAGGGACACATGGCCAAGGCTTGAGACAACGTGGAAGCAAATATCATCAAGTTGCCAACATAAGGGACACATGTCAGAGACATGAGTCATGTGTATATATTTACACCCAAAGATGACCAATTTTTGGGTATTATTGACAAGACTGGTCACAACTTCGTCGAGGAAATTTAGGTTCTGCGCGAGCTTGAGAAAATGGTCATAACTTCGTCGAGACAGGTCGGATTGACCTGATTCCAAAGCCAAAAGAACGAAGACTCCTGGATCTACAACTTTTATGTTTTGAGTTTTCTCAGAAAATCACGTCGACGTAAAAAGGAAGTCGATGGACGTGACTGGTCATAACTTTGTATCGTTGAGGAAATTTCGATTCTGCGCTAGCTCGGGAATATGGTCATAACTTCGTCGAGATAGATCGGATTGACCTGATTCCAAAGCCAAAAGAACAAAGACTCCTGGATCTACAACGTTTATGTTTTGATTTTTCTCAAAAAATCACGTCGACGTAAAAAGGAAGTTGATGGACGTGGTTGGTCATAACTTCGTCTCGTCGAGGAAATTTTGGTTCTGCGCTAGCTCGGGAATATGGTCATAACTTCGTCGAGATAGATCGGATTGACCTGATTCCAAAGCCAAAAGAATGAAGACTCCTAGATCTACAACTTTTATGTTTTGAGTTTTCTTAGAAAATCACATTGACGTAAAAAGGAAGTTGACGGACGTGACTGGTCATAACTTCGTCTGGTCGAGGAAATTTCGGTTCTACGCTAGCTCAGGAAAATGGTCATAACTTCGTCGAGACAGATCGGATTGACCTTATTCCAAGCCAAAAGAACGAAGACTCATGGATCTACAACTTTTATGTTTTGATTTTTCTCAAAAAATCACATTGACGTAAAAAGGAAGTCGACGGATGTGACTGGTCATAACTTCGTCTCGTCGAGGAAATTTCGATTCTGCGCTAGCTCGGGAAAATGGTCATAACTTTGTTGAGACATATCGGATTGACCTGATTCCAAATCCAAAAGAACGAAGACTCCTGTATCTACAACTTTTATGTTTTAAGTTTTCTCAGAAAATCACTGTAGAGTTGTCGACGTTAAAAGGAAGTCGATAGTCGTGACTGGTTAAGATACGGAAATTAATAGACACTTAAGTGAAGAATTGCCAATTTGAAGGAATCGACACAAAGTGGAGTCGACAATCTCGAATACAACTTGCGAAGAAGTAACCGTCAACATAGTGGGATTGAAGCAACCGCCAACATAATTGAGTCGTATAAATCGTCAAGGTAGTGGACTCAACGCAACTATTGTAAACCACTAAGGAGCACACATGTATATTTTGAGGGAATAGTTACTTGGAAGCATGATCATGAGGCAGTTATCACTTGTGGACAAGATCGTGGGACAGTTATCTTGAAAGCAGGATCATGGCATCACATGGACATGAAGACAAGATTTTCAGAATGGAAGAACATGGACACAACCGTTGAAAACTGCTAAGGAGCAGTTACTACACGACCATTATAAATATCACTGGCCATTTACCAGAGACGACCACCCCCGACAAATTAAATAACATGTTATCTTTCAATTATCTTTACTTTCCTGTATCGCACTTTACTTTTCCTTATCTGTAGCTTTTCGATTCGCGTCGTCGATTAAATTCCGGCGTGTATTTCTATCCCGGCTGTTGCGTCATCGATTAAATTCCGGCGTTACATCTTTGTGTACGTGTGTGGCTATATTTTCAAGCTTTGTCGTTGATTAAATTCCGGCACGGTTTGTACATACAATCCGGTTCGAGGTTCGAAGTTCGAAGTAAAAGTTCGCAGTTTTTCCTTGTCTTTCTGGATATTTCCTGTCTGGAGTCCCCACGGAATCCAGTCTCCTCTCATTAAGAACCAAAGAACGACTTTTGGTGAATTATATTTCGTCACGCGAACATTTTCAGCGAAACAGGGACATAATTTATTATGCAAACACGGCTGTTCATTCGAGTGTGTAATCACATTTTCGACCGGCATGGAAAATACAAGCATAACTTAGAGCAATCTCGGCTCTTGGGTCTCACAAAATAAATGCCTTTATTAAAAGAGTAAAAGTCAACAAAAACCCCAAATTATGACCATTATGACACATTTACCCTAAACGCTTTTCTAGTGATACCAAATATCTCACACTTGTATTTGTGTGGCACATTTACAATTTGCCAAAATTCTGTCAATGAAAACTGTTAAAAATCTATCTATATAGACGCAAAAAAGTAAACAGTGTTGACATGGAGCTCACGTGGATTAAGTGCAATAAAAACGATATTGTTTGGGTTGAAAAATCATCTAACGGAACATTGATGGAGGGTAAATATGTCAAATAGGTACAAGTTTAGGGTTTTTATGTCACAAGAAAAAGTTGAGGGTAAATGTGTCATAATGGATATACTTTGGAGTTTTTGATGTCACAAAAATAGTTCAGGATAATAGTGTCAATATTTTGAGGTTTTTGTGGCTTTTTCCTTATTAAAATGGCAAATACCTATTTTGGCTAATTCTTGTGGTGCTTATATACATTGGTTTGAAAGAGACGGAGTGGTCAGCGATTTCCTCAAAGAGAATTGATGATCCAGTAACTTCCAAACGCATCCAAGTTGATTCAAACTGGCACAAGAATCCAAGACCCTATAGACAATTCGATGTGGTCGGCCATGTCGCTGAACTGGTCAATCATCTACATTTCGATTATTCCCTCTTTGGCTCTTCTTCTATCTGTTCATTATCCTTTTGAATTTAACGCTTTCTGCTTGTATCCATAAACTATGTACCAGCGATTTGCGTCTACCCAAATGTTTACAACTCCAGAAGACCGCATGTGTCTTTCCAGAATGTGCTATTTTTCAGAGCAGTATGTTAGATACTACGGAAAATGGCACAAATAGCCCTTGAACTTTGGCCCAATGTGCAATTTGGTCCCTGAACGTTTAATTTATTCAATATAGCCGTTGAACTTTATCCTAATGTTTAATGTGATCCCTGAACTTTTAATTTATTCAATGTGGTCTCTGGACTTTTGGTGCATGTTCAATTTAGTCCCTGAACTATATGAAAATATTCAATATAGTCCTTCCATTAATTCAAGTTCAGGAACTACATTGAACATTTTCATATAGATTAGGGACTAAATTGAACATGTACCAAAAGTCCAGGAATATTAAGCTAAAGTTCAGAGACTATATTGAACAAATTAAAAGTTTAGGGATCAAATTGCATATTAGGCCAAAGTTCATGGACTATTTATGTCATTATCCCCAAATACTAAGTCAAGAGACAGCCATTTCAGAGTTCCTTTCTTTTGTTTTCTTGAGTTCATCAGCATAAAAACAAGGGAATCATCCCAAGTACATAAGTTTACATCGTAACACATGTACCGCCAGCATCAAATATTTATCTAGATCCAAATAAACAACAAGACGTTGGATTAGACAACAACAGAGATTACTTCCCATACCGTCGTATTGAGTTCAAGCCTTGTTGGCAGCACTTCAAGAGTAAATGCCTGAACTTGTCAAGCCGATGTCGGAGAGTATGCCTTATATCTTTTAAGGAGGTGAGTAATGGAGGTGTGCGAACGCTAGCCCAGACACCATCTACCGCTAAACCCAAAAAAAGAATGGCAAATGGATTGAATTGTTACTAGGAAGTCAAGTTTTTAACCATAGGGTTGGCATAGTTGATTGAGGCATAAAGGGGATTTCCAGAGCGTGGTACGACATTAAATTTTATAAACTGCGTGCAAACTATTCTGGGGCTTACTTGCATATGCCAAATGGCACGGACTTAATCGGTCCACGGGATTTGCAGAGTGTTTTATGGACCTCTAGATAGCTAGGTTCACACTCATGGCTCCAGATTATAAAACAATAAAATAAATAAATAAAACAATTCTTTATGTAACGTTTAATGACATTTAGTGGAACGAAAGTCATATAAATAGCTCAATCTCAATGATCATCCCAACTCTTGCATTCAACCCTCGAGCACATTTCCAAGTTCGAAACTCCCAAAAATGAATCCTCTATTGTCGTCATTCCTCCCATTTTTCCTTTACTTGTCATCGTTTGGCACAATCCTCTTGGTCTCTGTGCAAGCATTATCAATCAGAGAAGCAAGCATAAGTGATATCCAACAAGCTTTCAAGCAGGACCAACTCACTTCCAGGCAACTCACTGAGTTCTACCTCAGCGAGATCCGTCGGCTCAACCCGATCCTGAGAGGAGTCATCGAAGTGAACCCAGACGCGTTGTATCAGGCTGGTAAGGCCGACTGGGAGCGCAAGGCCAAGCCATATGGCTCGCTGCCCATCCTGCATGGGATTCCTATCCTGCTCAAGGACAACATCGGGACGAAAGACATGCTGAATACCACGGCTGGCTCATTTGCGCTGCTCGGCTCTGTTGTGGCTCGGGAAGCGGGAGTGGTGGCTCGCTTGAGGAGTGCTAGCGCCATTATATTGGGGAAGGCTAGCTTGAGCGAGTGGGCAAACTTTAGGTCTTTAACTGCACCAAATGGTTGGAGTGCCAGAGGGGGTCAGGGCAAGGTGAGTTACTATCTTACGAGTACTATAATGGGAAAAAGTTATATATACTTTATGTGGCTAGATTATCCTAAGCAATTTAGCCTGGCACTTCCTGCGATAGAATCTGGTAGAGAATGAAGAAGCTTCATGAAGAACTTGTCAAATTATGCAACGAAATCTTACTGAAATAGAAGCAAAACTTAAATACAACAATAATAGAAAGGCAAGCATGAAGTTTTAGTTTGCGAATCTCTAAAGGAGGAAATTCTGAGTCTTTCATGTAATGTGATGATTAAGATCGTCTTGTGTCTAAAACCAAGTGAATGATCCCCAGAAAGCTCAAACGGTTCTATGCGTACCGCTAGCACTGGATTTATCTTGCCATTGTTTCACCACAATATCACCTCTTTAGTTGCAAGCAACTAGCTAGTAATCAGTTTTGAAGTTACCCAAGCTTTTCCAAAAGTCACAAGTTGCATTTTGGGATGGCGTGCAGAACCCGTATGTTCTTTCAGCGGATCCTTGCGGATCAAGTAGTGGATCGGCAATTTCGGTGGCGGCTAATATGGTGGCAATTTCACTGGGAACCGAGACTGACGGATCAATCTTATGCCCTGCTAGTGTTAATTCAGTAGTAGGCATCAAGCCAACTGTTGGCCTCACGAGCCGAGCTGGGGTTGTTCCTATCACTCCCAGACAAGACACCATCGGGTAGGTCGAGTTAGTCATGGCCACGGTTCGGAAACGACCGGTTCCGGTTCGGAACCGGCGGTTCCGGTTCGTGGCCAAGTATGAACCGGAACCGGACGGTTCCGGGCCGGTTCCGGTTCCGGTTCAGGTTCGGAACCGGTCGGTTCGGAACCGGTTCCGGGCCGGTTCATAATTTTTCTTTTCTGTTTTTTTTCTTTTTCTTTTCCTTTTCTTTTTTTTTTCTTTTCTTCCTCCGCCGGCCATAGCCGGGTCGGCGGAGGTCGCCGGCCTCGAGGCGAGGCCGCCTCGCGGCGCCGGCGAGGGCCACCTCGCTGGGCCGGGCGAGGCCGCCTCGCCGAGATCGGGCGAGGGCTCGACCTCGCCGGCGTCGGGCGAGGCTAACCTCGCCCGCAAGCCGGTGAGGCCGGCCTCGCCCGATGCCGGCGAGGCTCGACCTCGCCGGCACCGGCGAGGCCGGCCTCCCGAGGCCGGCGAGGTCGAACCCTCTCAGATCCGGCGAGGCTCGACCTCGCCGGCGTTGGGCGAGGCCGACCTCGCTCGCAACCGGGCGAGGCCGGCCTCGCCGACGCCGGCGAGGTCGAACCCTCGCCGGCGTTAGGCGAGGCCGACCTCGCAACCGGGCGAGGCCGGCCTCGCCGGCCGCGGCGAGGTCGAACCCTCGCCAGATCTACAGCTTCTTCTTTTTTTTTTTTTTTTTTGGAACCGGGCCCGGAACCGGCGGTTCCGGGCCGGTTCAAAAATTTCTGGAACCGGAACCGGGCCCGTAGGGCACGGGCCGGTTCCGGTTCCAAACCGCGGGCCCGGTCAACGGGCCGGGCCCGGGTTTGACCAGGCCGAAACCGGCCCGTGGCCATGACCAGGTCGAGTGCACGATTCCTTTCTTAGTGGCTGCATAATCAAGTCAACAAACTTGTCACAGGCAGTCAATAGCTCCAAAAATACAACTAGTTGATTACTTATTGGTCGATCGATCTTGTCATCTCAAATATGTTGACTTTACGCTGAAAACTTTATCATCTGCAATACGTGTTCTCAAAAGGCACTCTCGAAATTCTTGATGTAACAGGCCACTGTGCCGAACTGTTTCGGATGCCGTGTACGTTCTTGATGCCATAGTGGGTTATGACCCCAATGACGGAGCAACGAGAGAAGCGTCAAAATATATTCCTCGAGGCGGCTATAGACAGTTTCTCAAAGCCCACGGGCTCCAGGGAAAAAGGCTGGGAATAGTGAGAGATCCCTTCTTTGATTTCACCAATAAGCCCAGCCAAACTCTTGCTTTTCAGAATCATTTTCAAACATTACGGTAACCATAATCACCAGTACAGTGTTTTAAGCAAGAAATAGAATTGAACTGAATGCCTGATCATTTTAGTTCATGACTTGAAACCCTTTTTATACTAGGCAAGCAGGAGCAGTTTTGGTGGACAATCTGAAGATAGACAACATTGACATCATCTTGAATGCCACTGCGAGCGGCGAAGCAATAGCCATACTAGCAGAGTTCAAAATAACTTTGAATGCTTACTTGAAGGATCTCGTGGCGTCTCCAGCGCGATCCTTGGCAGATGTCATAGCTTTCAACCAGAAAAACTCTAAACTGGTAAGCGTGTTCTAATTGCCTCTTCATAAAGAGCATTGTATGCTTCCAGAATTCATTTGCAGACTGTTACTGCTGGTGTTGATTCAGAAAGTAATTTTTCAACTGACCGGCTTTTCTAGATTGCGTGACAAAACAGAAAATGAGGAAACACATGAGCTGATACTTGCCGAGAGACAACCTAATGCTCTAGTTTGATAAAACATCCTTATCCGATCAAGTTTGGGAATGACAAATGTGTGCCTGACTGGTCTCACAGGAACTGACTGATCAGATCGGCCAGAACATCTTTCTGGCATCTGAAGCCACGAACGGTATCGGCGATGTGGAGAAGGCAGCTTTGTCGAACTTGACATACCTATCAAGCAACGGATTCGAGAAACTGATAATGCAGTACAATCTAGATGCGATCGTCACTCCCGGGTTCGAAGTTGCCCCAGTTCTTGCCATCGGCGGATTCCCGGGGATTAGCGTCCCTGCCGGTTACGACGACAAGGGAATACCGTTCGGAATTTGTTTCGGAGGACTGAAGGGTTCGGAGCCGAAGCTGATCGAGATCACCTACTCATTTGAGCAAGCGACAAAGATTAGGAAGCCTCCCTCATTCAAACCTTGATGACTTGATGCGATTTCTCCCTCTTCTTGAAGTGTAATGCCTCAAAATGGGTTGCAGTGTGAAGGAGACCGGAACTCATTCAGTATTAGAGGAGAGATATTTGATTAATATTTACTCCTTAAAAAATAAATGAAATAGCATCTGCTTAGTGTTGTTATTTTGCCAGCTGAAATTTACTCTTTGTATGCCCATCAGTCAATTCTCCTGCTGTTGAATCGTGAGAAGTTAATCTTGCTTTCCCTAAAAAATTTGAAATGAAATAAAAGTTGAATTTTAAGAAAACTAAATAAACATGATATACTAGTTTTTTTTTTTTTACATGTCAACTTTTGTGTGTATTGAGAGATTTTAGATTTTTAGATGAAAATTAAACTGAGGCGAAAGGTAAGGGAAACAAAATAAAAAGCAACAAGCAAAAAGTCTACCCTAATTTTGCTCCGGAAAAGCGAATTTTGCTTTTCCCACCAAAATTTAAAAGTTATGAAATATATATGAACATAAATATTGACAATTGAATATTTCGAAATGTTTAATTGATTTGTGCTGTATAAAAAGCAAATTGCAAAAATCACAAACAGAACAGAAGTAGACGTAAAAGTTTAGCCAAATGCTAGATGTTGGTCTAGGACTAGAAAACAATTGTCACAGTGTAGTCTTATACCGAAAGGTGAACATAATGTATCGCATTCTTACTATTTATTAGCGAGATATCCGTGCAATGAATGGATCTTGACATTGTGCTTATCCGACTTATTTTGGGAGCAGTGCCCCGTGGGTCGGTCCGGTGCTTAAACTTCGACTAAATATAAAGATGGGCCTTTTGCAAAAAATGGGCCATGTGTTTTACCCACGTCAAACCCATTGAAGACAAATCGGCAGTATCGTTAGTCCTTATAATTTTATTTTTGTTTCAATTTAGTCCTTATAATTTCAAAGGGCAAACTTTCACGCGTCTCGACTAATCAGCATTCCCGGCGATCATAAGCGCGTATCACCCCCACAATCGGCTTGGTACACTCAAGACTTTACTTCTGAAGTGCTTTCAACAAGATTTGGTCAAAAAACTACAGGGAGAGAAGCAGAAATCCCTTACCCTATAGGCCAACAACCTACTAGTTGAATCAACATTTCGATGCGGAAACAGGAAATCAATCGTTAGGGCTGGCTAAGAATTCAATTGAAGCTACATTAATCGAAAAAACCAAGCAGAGGAGAATTTTTTTCACTGATCGTAATTCATCGCCTTGCCTCCGCAACATGGGATTCTAACCGCGGTAAATAATGGTGAGATAAGAATGCCTTGGTGTAGGAAAACTCTCGAAATATTGAAGAAGACACTGTGGATTCGAGCCGAGTAATTAACCATGAATCAAGTCGCATGATACGTTTACGCTCGTTTTCAAAGATCAAGGCGTAGAAAGGCCCGCCACTCCGACTCAAAACCTAAGTTCAATTTATTAGATCAAGTCAATTGCGCAATATCTTTTTAATTCAATTGAGGTGGACATAAACATAAGGTAGGTGATTGCTGGTCCTGTCCAAGTTTCCAATTTCCCAAATTTCCTGAAGCGATTGCGGAGATTGACTCGATCCTTTTCGGGTGACCATATTGTGGAGATGGCCAACACATAGCTAATGTGAAGTAAGAGCAATAATTGGACGGTTAATCAACCTTGCGCACTTCAATATTCTGCTTGTATTGTAGTCATACACAACTATTCAAGCATGAAATGAAGTGGCTTCATATAAAATCACTCGGAGAAAAAGTTCGGGGCAATTGGCATGTCACGGTTTAAAATTTGCAGTCCTCTGTTGTCGTTAGAAATTTCAATGAATCAACATGTGATGGCTTCACGTAGCATCTAAGTCCACCTCCCACCCGTCACTTGAAGGGAAAATAACACAAATAGTCCATGAACTTTTAATTTATTCAATATCGTCCATGAAAAGCTCAATGTGCAATATGATCTTTGAATTTTAATTTGTTCAACATAGTCCATTGTGGTATCCTGAAATTTCATGGCCAAAGATTAAAAGATCCTAATGGATTAGGGCGCTCGTCGACGGAAATTAGGAAAATGAAATTGGAAGATTAGCGTTGCGATTATCGTTTTTTTTTGGAATCGCGAGTTTGGATTCTTGGAAACAATTACCGTCGAGCCGACTAACCCGACGTCGCGTCGTCTGCGCGACCCGACTCCGTGTCAAACCCGTCGCCGTTATTTTTCTCCCCATTTTTTCCCCTTGCTCACGGACAGCCCCCTCTTTTCCTCTTTTCGTCTTTTTTCTTTCCTTTTCTTCCCTTTTCTTTTTCTTTCCCCTTTTCCCGCCAGAAAACCCACGCAGCAGCAGCCCCTTCATTTCTCTTCTTTGTCTTCTTCTTCCCCCTCTACATTTGGCAAGAGGGAGGTGCCAAGTGTCACCCATGCATGCAAGGGAAGTTGAAGGGCCATCAGATAATTTTTTTCCCCCACAGTTCACTCTCACCAGCTCTCTCTCGCTCAGCTTTTTCCTCCACAGCTCACTCTCTCAGCTCTCTCTCGCCCAGCTCACCCACTCTCTCGTCTCTCTCTGTGTTCGCCGGGAACCAGCCACTCCACGCGACCAGCAGCAGCAGCCGGTCATCTCGTCCCCGCACGCCAGCAACAACCAGCCTCTCGCCCTGTCCAGCCACGCCCTCAACCGACCAGCAGCAACTTAGGAATCGCCCCTCGCGCCCTCGTCTCCGCCTCGGACCAGCAGCTTCGCCGCGACCACCACTCTCACCGGCAAGTGCTCTCTATCACATTATACTAACCTCGATAATGGTTGCATGTCGATTTGAGTCTCGGATAAATCTGTGAGTTGGCTGGATTGGTAGTAGGAGAAATCGAGACGCTATCGCTGCTGCCCTTAAATGTTTGACTCCATAGAACAAGCTTTGGTGAGTCTAGATTATTAGGTTAGGTTAGAAAAGGCATTGCATGTTGATTTGAGTTCCTGGCGTGGTGATTCCTTGGCTGTGAAGTGGTGGAGCTCGAGCGGGAAGCATTTCTTGAAGTTTTGTCTCGGGTTCCAGATCTGACTGTTCTGGATGTTCCTGGATTTATATTTTTGTATCTCCTTTTGTGGTCCAAATCTCGCGAAATGTTCTTCATCAAAGTTGTTCATAAGATCTTGAACTACAACATACTTAAATTTAAGATTTTTCTGAGCTCAAATGGATCTCCCGAAGGACCAACTCCTTACTGAAACAGAACTGTTTTTACCGTGGAACCCGTGACCTTTGTACTTTCTCGGATTTTTATAAAAATTTCCACTTCGAATTTGGTCACACTTCCTTCATGAAATTTGTTCAGGAAGCCCTTTTATACAACATATAAAAATTTCAAAGTGTTTGAAGATATTTTGGTTTGTGACACGAACATTATTTTTGATTCGGTTATCCTGTTTCGACGGACCAGTACTGTTCTGTTTTAGAGCCATTGAAAGTGGCCTTTACAGGGGAATTTTGAGATTGTATTCTTCATGAAAAACATTCATGAAGGTCTTGTTTATAACATATTCGAAATTCAGAATTTTTGGAACCCATTTACTATGCCTTCAAAATTAATTTTCCAAACTGTGCAATTCTGTCCAGTTTTACTAGACTTCAGTGATCTGCCGGTTTTTGTCTGAAACCATTGGCTTTTGATTTCTGGCCTACTGGAGTCAATACCCACCTTAATTATCTCTTCAACGGTGCTTATTTGACCTTGAACCGATATCGAATGCTTAGGTAAATTGAGTGGTCCTTGGGGGTACAGAATCTGGAATTTCGGTTGTTAACTGTTTGAAAGAAGTAATGAAGTGCCGTATCGGTTATTGTTATATGATATCATGTTATGTGAAAGATCACTACAAAAAAACTGGATTTTTGCCACGAAAATTTGCGACGAAAAAATTTTCGTTGCAAATTTGCGACAAATTTTCCAACGAAAAGTAAAATTCGTTGGAAATTTCCAACGAAAAATTTTTCGTCGCAAATTTCGTTGGAAATTTCCAACGAAACAATTTTCATCGCAAAATTCGTTGGAAATTTCCAACAAAAAAATTTTCGTCGCAAAATTCGTTGGAAATTTTCAACGAATTTTGCGACAACTTCAAAAAAACCCGTTATTGTTCGGCATTTTTATATTCGTTGGAAATTTCCAACGAATTTTCCAACGAAGTTCAATTTTCCGGGCAATTATTTCAGTGTGTACAATTTTCGTTGGAAAATTCGTTGGAAATTTCCAACGAATTTTTTTTCGTTGGAATTTTCCAACGAATTACAAAAAAACCCGTTACTGTTCGACATTTTTTATATTCGTTGGAAATTTCCAACGAATTACAAAAAAAATCCGATACTGTTCGGCATTTTTTATATTCGTTGGAAAATTCGTTGGAAATTTCCAACGAATTTTCCAACAAATTTCAATTTTCCGGGCAATTACTTCATTGTGTATAATTTTAGTTGGAAAATTCGTTAGAAATTTCCAACGAATTTTCCAACGAATTTTAATTTTCCAGGCAATTATTTTAATGTGTATAATTTTCGTTGCAAAATTCGTGAGAAATTTCCCACGAATTTTGCAACGAAAACCCTACTTCTTCCTTATTCAATATTTTCGCGCTCGTTATTTCCACAACTTTCAATTTCCACGTTCTCTCTCTCTCTCTCTCTCTCTCTCTCTCTCTCTCTCTCTCTCTCTCTCTCTCTCTCTCTCTCTCTCTCCTTCGCCTTCACCTTCTCCCTCCGCCTCCCCCGCCGCCCCCCCTCCTCCTCCGGCTCCGGCTCCGGCTCCGGCGCCATGGACACCAAGCCTCCAAGCCTCCAACGGCCCCGACGCCCCCGACGCCACCAAGCCTCGTCGCCGGCGAGGCTAGGAGACGATGACGGACTTGACGGGCGGCGGCCCCGAAGCCTGCTCCCACCCCTGCTGCTGCTGCTGCTTCTTCTTCATCTTCGGCCATGGCGAGGGCCGAGCTCACCATGGCCGGCGAGCTCGGCCCTCGCCGGCGACGAGGCTGGCCCTCGCCGGCCATGGCGAGGGCCGAGCTCGCCATGGCCGGCGAGCTCGAGCTCGCCCAGATCTGGGCGAGCTCGGCCGTCGCCGGCAACGAGGCTGGCCCTCGCCGGTGGCGGGGGCTATTTTTCGATCAAAAAAAAAAATTTCGACCAAAAAAAAAAAATTTCGA